AATTCAAGTTTTTGTTCAAGTAAATTGCTACCAATGTTTTACCAATCTGAAATAAATGGCATTTTAACATCACATTCTTCACTTGCGCAGACGCTTCGCCGTAATTAATCTATTTCTGTGATAAAACGAATCCAAGCCATTTATTTCCTTGATAACCAGTTATTTTGCAATGGTTTGTGTTGAAAGGAATCCATGACTATTGATCACACCGCGCGATTATTTTTTTACCGTTGTTAATATACGGTTGATTCGCATCCATGACCTTCACTCATCGATTTAAAAATAGTATTTAAGGACGGATTTTATTTTTAATAGTAACACAAAATATTTTGCGATAATCATCGATGGTTGAAAAATGGCCAAACCATAAATCAATGGGAATTTTTAAAGAAAAAAATCAGCAAAATCACCGTTTGTAACAGCAAAAACAAAAAAAAATTGTATTTATTTGTTAGCATGAATTTTCACGGGAAAACACATTATTTGATGTAATAATTGATGTAAAATTCACAAAAATGCTGCATTACAGGAGTAAATTGCGTGACGTTCAATCAATTTTGTTCGATCGAAATGGTTATTCCGAAGGGAGTTTGCATTGCCATTCGTATCGAAAATTATGGGTTTGATGACAATGTCGTTGCGGATTAACGTCTCGTCATCGCATCATAAACCATTTCTCAACCTTGCCCTTAATATACTTGCATAAGCGACAAAGTTTCTCTTAATTTTGCTGGAATCCGCAACAAACAATCGCTTTTAGTGATAGAAATTAGAAGTCGTAAAAACTAATAACAATAACAACAACATCGCCCATCAATGCGAATAGATCGACAATTAATGTTAAAACAATTTCATTTTCTCGCTCCAAAAAATCGTTTTTTCAATTCAATGTTTCAACGGAATGCAGCCACTATTAAAATCGCATCAATTCGATTGGTCCATCTTTGTATCAATCATACATGGTATTTTAATGTTTCCTTTTTTCAGATCACAAGGCAAACATAAAATTAGCATTCAAATATGCTTCTGATCTATTGCTTCATTTTCGAAAGGAAATGAGATCACAATACCGAACGTGCACGTGCTAATCTTGTGTGCCAGCGACCAAAATCGTTTTGATTAATCGCTAAACAATTAAATGCAAATTACAATTTTTTCGGTCATCATGATTGTTGATGATTTTTGTTACGGTATTGGTAACAAAACGATTCGCATAAAATTAATTTCACGTAATCTGTCTGCAGTTGTATATCGGTGATCGGGACGCATCAGAGTCACAATGGTGAGGTCAGCATGACCTCATTGTTTAAACGATTACAACATCATCATCTTCATTCTCATCAGCTAATAAATTTCTGAGATTACGATTTGCAACGCTGTTACTTTCGATATCTGTGCAACTTTTAACCTTTTTTGATCATCATATATCCCATTCGCCATTTGTGTGGGCGAATGTGCCCATAAACGTCAAAATACGGGAAAAAAATCATCGTGAATGTAAAAAAAACAACAACATTTACGATAATAATCGACAATGGTGGAATTAAACGCGTTAATCACGCTTTGAAAACGTTTGATTGTTTATACAATAAACAGATTGATTTGCGCCGATCCTCACCTCGCTCGAAATTAATCAACAACAAAAGCGAGAGAGTACACCTCGTGCATAGACACTTGATAATCAAAATCAAACATTGAGTAACGTGATCATTTGCATGCGCTACAAGAATATATCAATTTTCAAGCATAATTTGACGTAAATCATCAAAACAGCAAGACTAACCAAGCAAAAAAAAGCAGAAACAAATAATAAAAAAAGCGGGCTTGTGATTGTTTGTTAAATATGTTGATATGAAACTGAAATTTGATGTTTCAAAATTGAGATCGTGGTTTTTTAACCGTGTAAATGAAGTGATGCGGCTAAGACGCAGGTATTTCGAATGCATTGAGAGTGAAATAGAATAGCGCCGCTGCTAAGAAAAAAAAACATTGAGTGTGCGTGAACCAAAAAAATAACAAAACGAATAAACAATGATCATATTTGTATTCGCAATGTGATTTGCAAACAATCGATGGAAGAAAAGAGCGAAGAAAAAAATCCCCAACCAAACGAAGCAAGAAGAAGCGTTTTTCACAAGAATCCCATCCATTGGTACGAAGAAGAAAAAGTAACATCAAGACATTGCGTTTTTGTGCGCTCTCGCACACCGCCGCTCTTTGTGTGTGGCTGGTTTGTTGCCACAACCGTTCAAATGAAATAAACAACACACAATGACGTATATTTGTAAATTACAAATGAATTTTAATTGTACAGTTCAATCAAAGCATGTGTGTTGTGAATGTTGTGTGCTTTTTCTGTTTGCGCACATAATTTACGGTACATTTTCTATATCTGTTTGGATTTTAACTTCTATTTTTTTTTTGTGTTGTTATATTCGGTAAATCTTTGTTGATGGATTTTGTGGGTTAAATGGATCGATGTAATGTTTGCTGTTTTGCGCACATTCAAAACTATGATTTTTGATTATTGTTCAACCGATTTGCTCTATTCAACAATACATTGCACTTTTGAAGAGCCCATTGAATGAATGATGATTATGATGGAGTTCATTCCATCTAATTAGATTCTATTTTATGAGCACTCCCAAGTGAATTTCCATTCATGTTTCATGTCTCAAATATGATGCCGAAGAAAATCTCGACATAGAAAAATAACAAATAATAATCGATGAACCGCTCTTTTTCTTTCTTACCAAAATATTTATTAAACTTCCAAACTAGGCTTTAACGTTCTGAAAAATAGCCGATGAATTACACTTGAATGAAACTTGAACAAAGTGATCTCATGTAAAGTAATGAGTAAAAGTATTATATTTTGTTAACCTTCCGAAATGCTTCATCATTCGCCTCTTTTAATCAATATAACACGATCTACGACTCTTTGTGAACGATCACTATGAACTGTGCGCTCTCTATATGAATGTGTGTGTGGGCACAAAGAAAGATTTTGTACAATTTCTCTTTACCATCTCAACCACACTATTAGTATAAACAATTTCACGCCTAATTTTGCCCATATTACACGAAAATCAAAAATACGAAGAAAGAAAGAAAAAAAAAGTACCACGCTCACTCGCCAAGAAATAACAGACGAAAATACTTGAATAATAGACCAATGATAGAATGCACATCTATAATAAAAGACGATAAGAAGCGTGAAATCAAGAAACAACGCGAATAAATACAAGATTTTATTATATCATCGGGGTGCAAATCGACGAACATATTCGTCTTGCAGCAACAATAACCATTTTTCGGCCAGGAAGAAAGTGATTCATTGTTGTTGCTTTTGTTGGTATGTGTGTGTATGTGTTATTTTTGGAGACACGTTACGAAAGCATCTTTAATGCCAATTCCCACTACGAAGAAGCACAAACAATTTTGACTTTAAAGGAACTTAAAATCGGCCTCTGACATTTTGCCATCCAAAATAAGCGCATCACATTGCGCGCGTGCGCACACACACACACATACACAATCAAAAACGTATATTTATAAAAATCGCACCTAAAATAAGAGATATATAAACTCAGTGATTTACGACCATATCAGTTATGCAATTTTTTTTTCTCTTTGGATCTTTCTCTGAATTGGATGCAAGAATGTGCTGTCGGCTCTTCCGTAAACGTAAAAACCGAAGAAGAAAAAATGTATGGGGAGCTATTATTCTGTAAACCGCAAAACATTTAAAGAGTCTCTTTTTAAACTGACGATGACTAATTGACTAGTTTTATTGTTTGTCACACAACAGTTGGCTATATCAATTCGGTAAATCCGCTTACGGTAAACAGCATCAACAAAATAGAGACGAATGAAAAAAGTATCGTTAACAAGCCAATCCCATTGCTTACGGCTCAATTGTGAAGAAGCCATAAGAATTAAGCAGCAACAACAATAATCGGCTATGCAAATAAGACGGTTAACACATCGTCTTTTTTCATAATGTCTTCTTTTTTCTGCAACTTATAGTCGGTGCAATGTCACGCATTCAAGTTACTGACAATTTAATTGAGCACCCCCCATTGCGTTGTACAACTAAATGAAAATTATCAAAAAAGCCAAAAAAAATAATCGCATGTCACATGGAAAAATCAGTTAAGTGAATTTCATGTAATTTAAACGAATATATGCAAACGTTAATTTCATGCAGATAAATGCAAAAAAACCAAAGTTTTATTGAAGTGAAACTATGTACACGAAACGGAAAAAAATGAATGGCGCGTAATAAATTTATTAATAATTCATTTACAAGCGTTTTTATATTATGAATTATTACAATACACTTGCAAAACATAATTTGATTAGATTGAAATGAGCCTGACCTTTTCCGTGAGAATTTACTAACGTATTCTTGTCGCTTAGCACATTTACAATAATAATCAATCTATTCAATGCGAAATGGTTATTGTGTAAGCTGTGTTGTCGTTGCGAATGGAAATACTTGAGAAAATGGACAAAAAAGGAAATAAACGTTCGTTTTCATGGGATTTACGGAGTGAGCGATGAAAAAACACTTTGAAAACTTAATTTTGTTAATCATTTTTTGGTAACCAAGATTTCAATGACTTAATTGATGAACGAAAGAAAAAAAAATGTATGAAAAATTGTGAAAAATTACAAACAATCCAAAACTTCTTGATTTCATCTATTTACGTAATGAATGTATGATGCCAAAAAAAAACGTTAAATTGCCATTAATTGAATTACATCGACCGTGATTTATGGTTTTTTTTGTGCTTGAGATTTTCGGTGGGTTTTCTTCACTCACAAAAAAACTCTTTGATTGTTCTTAACTCATTCTTTTTCCCGCCAGCCATTCGATTATTATCACATCTACTGGTATTTCTTCGTTGAATACGTCTCGAAATTTAAAATTGGTCTTAAAATCGCATGCATGTTTTTATCGAACCATTTAAAATGTTTTGTTCTTCTCATTTCAGATGTGGAAATATATGCGTTCGGCGATGAAACCATTCGGGTATTTAATTCTATTTAATTTTGGTAAGTATGCACGTTTCTTTCGAACATTATTTATTGCATTTGCATCGCGTTCGATTTTCCAAAAGTGAAGGCAGAACACAAGTGCTGACATACACACAGACACCGAGTGAGAGATTGATATATGAATACCAGAGTTAGGCGCATTTTTCCCACAGATCCCGACAACGGATCTCAACCTGGTTTACATATGGAAAATATTCTTAAAGGTCATTCATCGTATCGCGGCTGTTTCATCTGTTGTTCTCGAAATATTTTTTTTTTTTCGTTTTTGAAAATTACTTTAAGAAAAAAACACCGTCGAGCGAAAAATAAATTAATTTAATTTAAATCGAAACGATATATTTTTTTCATCTTCTCCGTTTCCATAGCTCATCAATAGAGTTTAATTAGTAGTTATTCTTATTTTTCGTGTGTTCGTGTTGAAAAGTATGTTTTGGGTATTTCGGTGTCTTGTTTAGTGATCGTGGCGATGCATACCGTGCAAGGGCCACGCTATAACAGCAAGAGATACAAAATAAGAAGCGACAGTCTACTTGTGGTATCGTATCGTTTTGGCACACAATACACCGGTAGATGTGTTTGGTATTTGCGCTTGCTGTTATTTAACCCAGCAATCAATACAATACGTGCAGTAATTCGCGTTACGTTGCCATTTAGAGAGGTTTATTTTGATTGCTGTGCCTTGATTGTTGTTTATGTTAATTGCCGTTCCGTGGCTTTTTGCTCTTTCTTTTTTATTATTTCGGCTAATCGCGCACCATGATTTTTTTCTTCTCTTCACAAGCGTCTCATCGCCAAACGGTCCACGATGTATGTGTACGTGAATGTCTTTGTCGCTTGTCTATCGTTTGCGCTTCAATTCACTAAACAGATTTGCACCGATCACAATGCGGCGAATGTAAATTATATTGTTTAATTATTTCTTAAATATTCATTGATCGTCATCTAAATGGGGGAAAAAAGGCCGCACGACACGACCGCATTAGGTGTTTTGTGTTCTAACAATGTGCCAATGCACCAGCCACACGAATTCTTTTGATGCCATAGCATAAAGCAACACGGCATTCTACATGGCAACGGTGTATTATAACCAATTCAAAGGTTGTAAAACATTGTTGATTGAGGCGACGACGGCACCGACGACAATTGATGAGAACCCTTCGGTATTGAAACAATTTAATTTAAATGGGCTCTCATTTATATGATTAGTAAAATCGGCATTTTATGATTTAAATGAGTGATAAATGATCGCCTATGTACTTATAGAAAATGATGCACAAAAATGGAATATAAATTGTAGCAACACATAGACCTGCGGTCTGAACTCTTCCCGCAATTCAAAACAATTTTTTAACCATTAAATCTATTTCACTCTTGGTGCGGCAGTCTTTTGCACCATTGAATTGCTTCGAGTTATACAAAAAATGAAGTGAATTAAACAGAGCCCAATACAATGAATATCTAAATTCAAATGAATTGCTGAATGGATGATTACGATTGGCGCAAGAAAAATACCGCATTGAATTTCAGTCAAATGCTTTTGCAGGCCATTCTCTCTTTTTCGATGGAAATCGACAAATAAAATATTGTAATGAACCAAACACGACTCATCCAACGTCGGACAAAATAAGATCCTCGAATTTGAACACGTGTCCACGTCGCAATGGATAACATTTTATTTCGTAATTTGACACCGATCAAAATGTTTCATTTCCATTTGCATTGATCACATTATTGTTTGGTCCAGCTTCTGCTTTGTAAATGTATTTTGTTTTCCTCCATTAATGTGCTCATTATTCATATTGAATATCAATAAACTTAACACCAATTGCCATTGTTCATTATTATATTGCCATTTGGGCGTATCGTTTCGCTTGATAAATATCCAACGATTTTGTTCACTGCGGCAGCGCATTCATCGAATATCCAGATAAATAAGAGATAATAATAAAAAAAAAAAATTTCTCTCTCTTTATTTCTCTTTCAATGAACGTACATAGATATGAGGTAATCTTTAGCGATTTACTGTGTAACACATATTTTGTTTCACATGTGTTTTTATACATACAAAAAAATAGTCTACCGAAATTGTTCCCAATATCAATTTCACTACGTCATTCCCAATGTAAGGCGCCCATAAACAACTCAGATTAGACAAACAATTGAACACACGAAACCGACGTTCAGACTTTGTCTTATGGAATGCCACATATTCGTGCATGCACGTGTTTCAACGTCGAATGAAACGATCATCGCGTGCATTCTATGTGCACCTGAAGATATTGACTGAAAGTCGTATCTCATCTCGTATGAATTGTTAAAATTTAATAGCGATTTTAAGCAATCGCAAGAACTAATTTCAACGCTCCATTTTTACCTTCTTAACAGCCATAAAAGCGAAAAAAATACACCGTTTTTTTGCTTCTTCACCTATATTTACACGCTCCCAATTGCCAATTCAAATGACTCAAAAGAGCAACAATCAAATAGCATTTAACGGGCAAAAGCGGAAAATTTTAACACTTAACTGATAATAAAATCAAAATTAAAAAAAAAGAAACTTGGCGGAAAAACAATGAAATTATGAAATATGATGCTGCTGATGACGCCGAAAGGTCATTCTACGCTGGAAATCAGCATATATTCCCCCTCCGTTTCGTTTTCTCTCTCTCTCTCTCTCTCTCTCTCTCTCTCTCTCTCTCTCTCTCT